GGGTGGCATTTTCTGTTGTTTTACACAGAAGCACCTCCTCCTTGGGAATCTACTTTTGTGTGTGTGTCACTCCATTTCCTGTGTGTCTATTTGCATCAGGATTAGATCCTTGTATGCCTTTCCTGACTTTCAATGTGTGTCTCTACTGATCCTCAATGTGTGTTTATCCTGACCCTCAATACGTGTCTCTGCTAACCCTCCATGTTTATCTTCCCAACCCCCATACCATTTACTATACTATTCCTCCATTTACCTTAATTATATTATGACTGAGCAGAATTATGTCAGAGATTCTACATATATCTCTATCTGATTCCTCAGTGCTTTTCCAACCTACATGAGCCATGCCGATTGAGTGTAGCAGGGTGGGAAATTATATTAAAAGTTTCTGCCACTGTCCCATTCTTCTGTGCTACATTGAGTGCAAGGCTGGGAGTGCTGTGGGCTTGTACCCATCTTTCTCTGTTTCTTAGTTCATTGTGCAGGCCATGGCTGCCATCCACAATTAATGCTGATGCCCGGAGTTCCCTGTTGCTTATGGATGTCCTCAGCTCTGTTTTCTGCTTGATCCCCCCTTATGTGCTGCCCAGTCTAGGTTGCTCTGTTCTAATTTTTGAATATCTAACTTCTGGCACCATAAACCTTTGATATCATGACTGCAGACCCATACTCCGATCCCATTGCTCATTAACCACACGTACACTGAAATATAATGGAAAGTGCAGCGGCTTCAGCTTCATTAACAATACAACATAACGTCCTATAAGCAAGCAGTCTCCATCTTTTAACAAACTGTCAGCTCTTGGGGTGGGGGAGGGGGGGGGAGGTATCAAACAGATAGTAAACCACTGAAATTCCAAGACCCCATGGTGGGCAGGCAGGAAGACAATCAGGCTCCCAAACCAGACTGAAATGCCCCACCCTAGGAACCCGGGCTACACTGTATCTCTTTTGGAGGGATGTCCCTATCCTCCACTGTAAGCCCCATTTTGACCCTCCTTTTCCATTTTGTCCAGGGGGTTTCTTTCTGGTACTTTTGTCTTGTGTGTTTGGTCTCTATTATTCCTCACATTTCCTTTTTCCTCATATTTCTTTTTTCCCTTACTTGAGTCTGAATCCAGTTTCATCTGCAGTGTTCTCTATGATGGCTTTGACTTTTGGAACTCTTGCATTCTGAGATTTCATTTTATCTTTTATCTCCTCCTCCTCACCCTAATCCAAAGGTTTGTTTCAGCATGAAGTCATGCCGCCTGCCATTCACGCTTTCCCCCAATATTTTATATATATCAGACAATTCGTATCCATTTAAAAAACTACTTACTAAGTAAACATCAGTATTTCACAATCACAATTATTTATATATAACGTCATATTATCCTGTAGTACTGTATAATTGGTAAAATAAGACAAACAAAAATTTGCAACATAACATATTTGACACACAGGAACAGTAGGATACAAGGGCCCAATCCATGTAAACTAGTATACATTGTAAATTTTATTTTTTAATTGAGCATAAAAATTTAGTTGACAATATAAAAAAAAAAAAATTGGAATGGTTCAGCAATTCAGCAAATTCACTGGTGAAAGAGATCCCCGGCTTCATCATATCCCATTAAATGTATGTAGCCTAACTGATACAAATATCATAATCAATAATATATGTTGCCTTTAAACTAAAATTCGAAACACATTACGAAATCTGCCATGGTTTAAAAATAGTCTTTACCAGTTAACCCCAAAGGAGTCTGAAACTACACTAGACTCTGGTGAGGTAGGTGGTATGTGGCATCAAGTTAGTTTTTGATATCTCTGAATCACAGTTGGAGTTGTTGCAGCTACAATCCTGATTCATGTTACTGGGAAAGTTTGGTTTGGAACAGTCCATCAGGAAGCCATCAAACAGAGAACAGTTAATACTGAGGTTTGTCTGAATACATTCCCATAATCTCTCTGTGACTTGATAAAAACAAAAGCACTTCCTGTTTTTGGAAAGTCAAAGGTCAGTAGCATGTGTTAAGCTTGGCAGAAGCCATGTGGGACACTTCAAGTAATACTGGCTGTTTATCTAAACCATTTTTTTCCGTAAACTCTTAATTGCATCCAAATTAAAACCATCTTGTGTAATACTCAATTTCTTTATCTAGCAGACACACAGGAAGAGAAGGTTTACGGAAATATAGACCGTGCGTAATAGGGATGTCCCTTTGTCCCTGTTTATAAAATGATTCAGACATGTTTAAAATATATTTTTAGAGTACTACTTTCATGAAATACAATGGTTTGTGTGCTATCACCTGATGTCTTAAATACACATTCAGGGCCGCTATCAGGATGGTACAACCCTAACACTTGTAAGGGGCCCAACCATGCTCTTGGGCCCACAAGGGCCAACTAATGCTATGTGGTCCAGTTGGGGATCAGACCATATTGCGAATCTGTGATGGCACGGACAAGTACATCCTCTTTCCATTCTTCTTGAGCACAATTCCACTGGAAGCAGTCATTTCTATTTACTCCCTCACAGCACTCAAAGGAAGCCACGCTGAAGGAGAGGAACAGTCCTGCACAGGACCACAAGGAAGCAATCCTCCTCACAAAAGGTAGCCAAAGAGGAGAGTGGCTAAAACGCTTAAATGTGTGTGTTTCTGTCAGTATCTATGTGTGTGTTCGTTTTTGTGTGTGATTCTGGCAGTGGATGTGTATATGTTTCACTGTGCGAGGCTGTCAGTAAGTACATGTATGTTTGTCAGTGTGTGTCTGTCTGGTAGTGTGTATTGGTTTCTGTATGTCTGGCATTGAATATCCCTGGGTGTGTGTCTGTCTGGTAGTTGGTATCTGGGTAAGTGTGTGTATCTGAGTGTGTGAGTGTGTCTGGAATGTATATGTGTATTTGAGTGGTATCTATGTGCCATGGCACATGTGTATGAATATGCATGTATAAGGGGGCGGGTTAGTGGAGACCCAGCACCTGAGTTTGTAAGGGGCCCCAAGTGTTATGATGGCAGCCCTTTGCATATTGCATACTAAACTCTCATTGTCTGCCAGCATACCTAGCAAGAAAATATCTATACGTGCCACATTTGCAACATCTGGGGGTCTACTTTTTGTCAACCCTTATTTTAGAATAAAAGGAATTTTAAAATAGAAAAGAGAGACAGCGTAATTTTAACCCAACATACAAATGTACAAATGTTTTGCATCTCCAAAGTGGAAGAGAATCATGGATGCCTCCCTAATATCCCTATTTAGGTGTGACAGTCCCAATTTTTGAGTCTGTCATCGTGTCCTGACTTTTTTCCCTGGTGACACCAGGGTACTGTACCCTTGAAGTGAAGGCATTTTCATGTAAACACTGTCTTTTCAGAGAACACTCCTTAGATGGTCACTGGAGGGGCTTCCTGGTTCAAGGCTGCACAGTAAGCAGCC